TACAAAATATGTATGTGTGCAGTGTGTATGTGCAGTGTGTATGTGCATGTGTAATTCAAGGTCACTTAGTTACACATAACTTGAGACCAGGATTTATAACTTTGAATCCACTGAATGGTTTCATTTTATTATACTTCAATCTCATGGTTAGAGAGAAGATGACAAAAAGGTCCATGAATCAATACTTTTTGATTATTATCATCTCCACTTTAAATTCCAATACCTGGTGGTAAATATTGAGAAAACTACCTTAAGTTTAGAGCTACAAGGGCATCAAATATTGGGATCTTTTCATAATTACTTTTGCTGCTCCCTCCATTTTTTTTTCTTTCAGTATTCATTATTTCTTTATCAGATTGACTCAGGGATTTATCATAATCATTCTGGCAATTGAGGAGGTAGAAAGAGGCAAAGGTAGATGAATAGGTACAGTAGAAGGCTGAACTTTTTCTAAAAATTTCAAAACTACAATGCCCAAACTCACATATCCAATAAAGGATATCTAATGAGAGAAGAATAGAAAAAAACAATGGTACCTGTAGGTTAAAAAAAAAAAAAGATCTCGAGCTCGAAGCAGAGATCTGACTGCACATGCAACAAAAGGAGTGGGCTGAGCTGGGTGGGTATGACAGGCTGTGAACCGGGATGATGACACCAGCATCTCTGTGTCAGTGCCCAGGGCAGACAGCTGCTTCTCATTACCGCTGCCAAGGAGGAGTGCAGGAGGGAGCAGAAAATCCAAATGTGTTGTTCATAAAGAAACAAACTAAAATTCAAATGAACTCAGAGAGGAATTAGCTAGTTAGTGAAAAACGCTAAAAAGCCAGAACCACCTGGTGCAGGAAAAACTACCCCAAAAGGGACTGTCAACATTACAAATAGCAAGAAGAACAGATAGTCTTCCCAGGGTAGAATGAGGGGGAGATGCTTTATTGTGGCCTGATAAGGTGAGTAATATAGAAGGATTGTTTCCAGGCAGCTGCTGCCCATTAGACGAAGGTGGTGAGAGACTCCACTGAGAGCCTTTCAGACAAAGTTATGTGAAAGTATGCACACTCCAGAAACACGACTGAAGATCTTAGATTGATCATGCTCCAAGTTCTTTTGTGGCTAGAATGTCTTCTGGGCAAAGGGAAAAAGGCCAGGCTTGGATTGTCCATATGTCTTAAACACTTAATGAAAAATTATATTAATTCCTCTATATCTTCTGTTACTTGTCCAAGAGGCTAAATATGATTCAGATTGTCTTCACAGGACTCTGCTGATTGAAATAGACATTTCTTGGCTTTCTTTTCCTTTCTCAATTCCATGTGTTTTTTTTTACTTCAACTTTAAACTTATTGAAGGTAGAACCAACATTTACTGATTGTTTACTATTTCTCAGACCTTGTCTCAATGATGTATCTCTTGCATCCCTCAATACAATCTTGTAAAGGAAATAATTGTTTAAAAATCACATTTCACAAATGAGGAAACTGTGTTGCTTAATGATACAGTAAATGGCAGAACAGGAAAATTGATTGTATTTCTCAATGCAAAAGTCATACTGTTTTCCCTAGAAGAGAAGTCAGGGTCCCTGACATGGGGTTTGAAAATGTTTGTAATAGTAAACATAGCAGCTTCTTCAACTTTTCTCTTCTTTATGCTCTTGGAGGCAACACTGGAGACCTGGTCAGTGTGTTTCTTGGAATCTTGGGCAAGTCACTTCACTTTTTCCAATGGAAAAATGATGGGGTTGGACTAGAGCAAATCACAGACCTTGACCAGCTTTGATTCATCTCCAGCCCAAGGACTAGGATGTAGCAACCTCTCAGCCACACTCCTCACTGCAACAGCTATGAGGAATCTAAGAGCACTTTCCATTGCCAGGTAGTGCTCCTTTCACTTCTCTGATTGTAGAGGACTCTCTTTAAAAGGGTTAAAGTGGAGAAACGTCCCTGTTTGGCATACATACTCAGGAAGCCTGGAGTGATGGTGAACATCAGTTTCCCATTGATCAAGATAAATTCAAGCTCTACCATCAGTCATTTCACCCATCTGCAATCGTCAGGAAAATACCTAAGTCACACTTGGAAGACTCATTCATCTTTCCAAAAAATAGAAAGTGTTTGCGTCCTTTCTGGACCAGCAGCTGATCGGAAGCGCTTACTCAAAAGACTGTTGCTGGAAGGGAGGGGATGTAACCATTCCTGGATGGCAGCATCTATACATTGACACCTCTCTTTATCCCCCCGACTCAGTCAGTGTTTTTGTGATACTTGTATCATCACAGGAGCAGATTATAAGAAAAGTATGGTGGTTTCACTTACCCACTTCATGGGAGCAATTCACAAAAACACAGTAAAACAAAAACGATCTCTTTCTCAGTTGTGCTTGTGAACTTTTCTGGCAGATAAAGCACATCTTTCCTTTAGTATATAATCCCTTTAAACCTCATGTGAAGTGGTTTATTTGCTCAATCATTTGCTCAATATCATTAAATATCTGTTCAACCCATCTAAGAGGCAAGTTACTTCTTTAATGAAGTGTCTTCTTACCTACAACGTGGCCAAAATTAATACGAGTTTATAGAATAATTCCATGAAGTAATGAAGAAAATGCATGAAAGTGCCTCCCTTCTCTGTGTAAACTACTAGTCGGTCATTGTGCAGAATTAAAAAGATGATTTCATAAGGAAATGGATCAGGCCCTCAAGAAGTTGCAGTCTGGTAAGAAAAAACAGTGTGTTCATAAGTCACCCAAAGTTAAAGAAGAAAATGGCGTGGATGTGAGAGAAACGCAGGTAAAATGCCACTGGTGCTTGTACAAGAGAGGATACTTGTAGGATTATAAGACACAATTTAAAACATAATATTTTGCACAGGCATTAGAACTCAGCTTTTATCTGGACATTTCAAAAATGGAGGAGAGAAAATAGAGATACTTTTTGAAGGTACAGCATGAAAACAGAACTAAGAAATAGGTGTCATAGGAGAAGAGCCAGTGGTTTGGTTTGGCTGGTACACAAAATAAGGCTGGAAATGTAGGTGTGACTAGACTGAGGGTGGGTTTGAGTGCTTTTATTCTGGAGACCAGGATTTAGGGTGATAATAAGAACAGAGAGGCTACAAGGTAGAGTAGGTGTGCAATGAAAGAGGACAGAATGTTCAGTGAGGGACATGATGGATTTGAAGCGAAACAAGAGCCTTCTTGTTGGGTTGCTAGGGAGAGCTGAAAAGTGGTGGCCCTGGAGGAGAGGAACCTGACATGGCATAGTTCTCTTGGCTGTACTTTACAGCAAGAAACTTCCAATGTAATTTAGTAGAATAGAACCACCTCGTAAGACTTTTGTAAACACAGAGCCTCAGCATTTCCATCACATAATCTCAATACTTGGACACTGAAGGGAGTAAAGGTGACATAAGAAGTGAGAGTGGATGGGAAACTTACGAGAAATAATTTTTTGGGGGGCATGTAATTAGGTTTGTTTATTTGTATGTTTGTTTGTTTATTTAATGGGGGGACTGGGGATTGAGCCCCGGACCTCATGCCATGCTAAGCACACGCTCTACCACTGAACTATACTCTCCCCCCAACAATTTAGAATAAATATATTGAAGTTATTGATAAAGAGGACCAAAAGGTGTTACACTGCATACATTTTGGTTTCAACTTATAGGGTGTTCACGATGGTGTATGGTGTGAAGGAAACTTAATGAGCCCTCAAAACAAGGAAGTGAAATAAGTTATTGATAAGGACAAAAAAATAGAGCAAATAATGCACCTTAACTACACAAGCTCAAAGAGTAAGCACAAGATAGAAAGTGACTGATATGTGAAAGGTAATAAAATCCAAAGGGAAACCTGAGGTGCTAACAAGTTGCTAGTTTTTATATTTTAATGTGGTAAGTTGCTATTCACATCAAAGGAGTTTCTGATTTGAGAATCAAAAGGAAATTTGTGGCAGCAAAAATTATTGCAACAGAAGATTCAAGGGAAGCAGCGAAAACCCCGTGACCATGACAGGGAGCCTTATCTGCAGTTTATTTTCTGCAGTTTGATTTTGTTGATGGAAACTGGCTACAAAGATTAGGAGCCATAAAGATAAGAAAAGTTGATAGACAGAAAATGTAACTTGAAAACAGCAGATTGTACCAACATGGCAGCATAATACCATAACACCCTGTAACACTAGAAATATCAAATGGGAGACTCCCTGCCGTAAAACCTCAGGAAAATAACTGTGCAGTAATATCGGGAGGGTGTTTTTGGAAGGATCAATTTTTCTTCATGGGCTTTGGGCACATTTAGTAATATAATACAGATCAGAAGTCTCTGCCACTATTTCTTATAATTTTGTGTCTAACAGGAGGACTTCCTGTA